AGGTACTGTGGTCTCAGAAAAGCAAGAACAATGTAGCCATCCTCTGAGAATAAGGATGAGAGAGAGATATTGCAAGCTTAGGGAGAGACAGAGGTCACACAGGAGCCACACAGTTGCACATTTGCCCAGGACATCTAAGGCCACACCAGAAGTATGTGGATGTGAATTTAATGTTGGATCACTGAGCATGGCTGTGTGATCTCTCTCCAGCTGATGGGCAGGCAATGATGTGGCTTACTCAAGAGAGTTCTCTAAAACAAGGATAGTGATGGAGTTAGGGGTGTACTCAAGAATGTGCTGATAAGAATTGGCCACAGACCCTATGGGCTGCTCAGAGAATGCAGAAGCACTAGGGTGCTCTAAGCCCAGCAGGTTCTGGCAGGAGTGACCTGAGGGAGGAGCAGACGTCATATTTATATGCTAAGTTCCTATCTGCCCCACCCGCTCAAGAAGCAGATCGGGCCATCTCATTACTAACATCTGGACTCCTGTCTAGCAGCCAGTAGCAGCCCAATGAATGCTTGCTGCGTAAATGACCAGCTGAATGAGTGGATGGATGTTTTCTGTGCTGGATCTCATACTAGGCTGCCAGCCACATCACGTCAGTTACCATGTGAGGTCGCTCATTTTTGTCTCTTCAGGACGAACATCTTGCCAAGCACATTGCAGATTCTCCAATATATCTGTTAAGGTGACATGAGTTGAATTGATTTGAAGAACAAGAAATGCAAACCCAGGTTTTGTTTGTAAACAAAAGCAGGTTATGTCATTAAGACTTCAGAGTCAGCCGTGCATCATTCCAATGAGAAAGGAGAGGGAAGAAATTAAGGTCTGTTGGTAATTAATTAACAAGTTCAATTAGAGCATCTGTTTATTATTCCCAATCCTACATCAAGGAATAAACAGAACTGCTCATCATAGGCAGGTGGGGGCCCTTGACGCAGGGAAGAAGTGGGCCAGTGCCGGTGAGGGAAGCCCCACTGGGTGCAGCTCAAGTTAAATCTGGGAGTTGATGGGGAAGAGCTCCCCCAACTCCAAACCTACACCAAGTACCAAATAGGTGTGCTGTCATCTAGACTGCCCTCCAAGACGTGGAAAGCAGGTCAGCCCTCAGAGGAGCATGTGCTGAGAAGTGAAGACGAGCTGGGCAGCCACCAGCAAGTGCTCTTTGGTTGAACCAAGAACTTATCCTGGACAAAATCATGAAGTTGAAAGCATCATTTCAGGAACTCTCAGAACGTTGGCTCCTGGATTCTACCCAATCTTACAGCCTCCTTAGTGTGAAGCTAAGCCCTCTAACACTTCATGCCTCATCCCCCTGCTTATGATAGAATAGACCTCAAATTCATGCTGAGTGAAATATCTCATTGTCCTAAGCTGTCAAGATGCTTTTAGTGAATAGCTTCATCTCACATCCTGTGCGGTACCCAGGGCCCATGCTGGAGAAGATGCTCAAAGAATGTTTGTTCAACAACTGAGCAAATCCATGCCTGGACACATCAGTGTATCAGTGCTTGTAAAGAACAAGTTCACACTTCAACAGGCAATGTTTTAAATATATTCCTTCATCAATAAAATGCAAATCAAAGATGCCATCTCATCATGTGTATTAGAAAGGCTATAACCTAAACATAACAAGTGTTGGTGAGGATGTGGAGAAACTAAAGCCCTTATGTGTTACTGGTGGTAACATAAAGGTGTTCAACATCATGGATACAGTTTGGTGGTGTCTCGGGCAGTTAAACATAAAATTACTACATGACCCAACAATTACACTCCTGTGTACAAACCCAAACTAATTAAAAGCAAGTACCCTAATGGGCAACACCATTCACAAAGGCAAAGGCAGAAACAATCAAATGCCCATTGTCAGAGGAATAACCTGTGATGTATGCATACAGAGGAATATTGACTGCAGAATGAATGAAGTACTGGCGGATGTTAGCATGGATGAACTGAAAACATACTAAGGAGAAATACCCTAGACACAAAAGTCACAGAGTGCAGGGCCCCAGTTGTATGGAATCTCCCAAATAAGCAAGCCCTTACAGACAGAAAGCATACTAGTTACCAGAGGTGTCTGGATGGAGGGAGGAGGAGCTTCATGGCGACTATTTCTTTCTGAGGGTATAGAAACAGGAATACAAAACAAGCGGCATGTGCATGAAGACAAGATACACTGTGCATCACTCTCAGTGGGGAAAAGAACCGATTCAAACAGAAACAGCTAAGCAGTGTGCAGGTGGCCACATGACAGGGCAGCTTGGAGATTGACATCCCATCCTTGATGAGGAACTGGGGAGCCAAACACATGAATAGCATGGGACAGCCTCACTGGGGAGGACCAGTTCGCAAAGGTGAGAAGACCAGCATCGGTACCGCTGCAGAGGCCAATGTCGAAGTCAGCATCCAGGCTGAGTCTGGGAAGAAAGGACAGAGCACAGATGAGGAAGGTTCTGGGTTGCAGCAGGCAGTGTGGGCATCGGGGAGAAGATCAAAGTGCGCTGGGCAAACACCAAGCAGGACCAGGGATCCGGCAAAGGAGTCTGGCTCCTGCCAAGGCTCCAGGATGCAAGATAAAAGGCAAACAGCTTTGCAGGTCCCTGGCTTTCCTGTCCTTCCCTTCACCTCCTGCCCGCAAGGCCACGGGCAAAAATCCTAATGATGTCGCTCAGATAGCCTTAACTGAACTGTAGCTGGAGGTTACAAAGAAGGCTGTTATAGTCAGATTTTAATTGCCTTCTTTGTTCACACTGTCATTAAATAATTAATTCCATTATTTGCCGTTGACTTACACAAATATTTTCTCTGTTCTATTTACCAGACACTGTAAAAACTCCAGGAGACACAAAGATGGTGCCTTAGAGTTTCTATTACTGAGATAAAGCACTGTGACCAAAAGCAATTTAGGAAAGAAGGAGTTCATTTCGCTTACTCTTCCACATCACAATCCACCACTGAAGGAAGTCAGGGCAGGAACTCGATCAGGGTCAGAACCTGGAGGCAGGAGCTGATGCTGAGGCCGTGGAGAAGGATGAAGGAGGTCTGCTTACTGACTTGCTGTCCAGGTTTTGCTCAGTATGCTTTCTTATTCCATCCAACCTGCCCAGGAGTGGCACTGCCCACAGTGGGCTGGACCCTCCCACAATCTCTAAGAAAGTGCTGCATTGGTTTGCCCCCAGGCCAGTCTTATGGGGCATTTTCTCAGTTGAGGTTCCTCTTCCCAAATAGCTCTAGTGTGTACCACATTAAAAAAAAAAAAAAAAAAAAAAAAAAGCAAAACTAACCAGGACACATGGGTAATACATCTTACACAAAAACACAAAATCCATGTATTCAACCATGAGCATATGGATTCCCAAGTATCTCCTCTGGGGTAGGTATTGCTCTAAATATTTGATGCTGCATTTATACCAGAAAACAAAACAAAATTCCTGAATTTATAGGAATATAATTGGCAGTCGAGCGACATAGATGTACAATTTAATGACCTGGTTACACAACCATGCACACAAATAAAACTCGATGGAAACACACAACAAGAGTTGCAGGCAGAGAACTATGTTTACAAAGAAGATATTTGCTGGGAATGTGGGAAGGCTGGGAAAAGGAGAATATTCAAATTTGGCTTGAAGAAGGCAGAGAAGGAAGAAATCGGTGTCTCCAGTCACAAACAAGGGCTAGCCAGGAGAGCCAGGGGTGAACATGGGGAAGGTGGAGGGCCAGATGTGCTTAGTGTATGCAATTAACTAGAAAGAGGCTGGAGACAAAAAAAAATGTGGTGGCTTTCTTTTGGACCACCAACCAACTCCCAAATCACGACACACAGACTTATTATTAGTTATGAATGCTCGGCCTTATGTTATGCTTGTCCCATTAGCTCTTATAACTTAAATTAACTTGTTTCTCTTCATCTACATTTTGCCTCGGGGCTTTTTACCTTCCTTTCGTTCTGTGTGTCCTACTTTCCTGCTTCCTCCCTCTCTGGCTGGCCGACGACTGCCTGACTGGAAGGACATGGGGTGTCACCCTCTCATTCTCCCCCATTCTCTCCATTTTCTCTCGTTCTCTTGAGCCTAGATTCCTCCTACTACATATTCTCTCTGCCTGCCAGCCCTGCCTATCCCTCTACTGCCTAGCTATTGGCCATTCAGCTTTTTATTAGAGCAATCAGGTGCCTTAGGCAGGCAAAGCAACACATCTTTACATCATTAAGTAAATACAGCATAAACAAATGTAACACATTTTTGCATAGTTAAACAAATGCAGCATAAACAAATGTAACAACACATCTTTCAGTAATTAAACAAGTATTCCACAACAGGAAAAGGCTAGCAGCAACCAGATCATTCTGAGGACTAGAAGAGTTTGAGGCAACTCGGAGATCGTTTGTACGTTCAAAAGGAGGTGCTTTCTAAACTTTATCTTGGCGAACATCATTGCTCAGTAAGAGCCCATGGTTGAAAGGATTGGCTACTCCTCCTGACATGTGGCTACTGGTCTTTGTAGGACTGAACGCAGCTAGATCATTATTTAGTCACCAGCTGAGATGCCAATATTTAACTATCACTTAGTTAATAAACACTCTTATATTAATTTCACTTGCGTGAAGTATTTTATTGTGAGGACATCTTGTTCCATCAGTCAACAGCAACTCCCATCAGTTAGGGAGTAAAACCCCAGAAGGCGGTCTCACTGAACATTGAGGAGAAAGTTAAATGACTACCAGACCCCCGGCTCTCCCATAACTAGAGGCCCTCTCACACGAATGCTGGAGAAGGTCAGGAGTTGCTGCCTCTGCATGGTGTTCTGATGCCCCGAGGCCCTTTCTCCACATCTCTTTACGGACTAGGGTCTCTCTTCCGTCTGGAGCCCTGTCTAGGTGTGCTCTAATGGATCTTTCCAGAATGGAACCTCATTTGGGATCATCTGCTGGGTCTCCCTTTAGGACACAGCTGCCTGTATTTAGTTTCTTTGCTCCTTGCACTGGACTTAGCATAATGGCGGGGAGGTAACTAGCTGCCTGTTGAGTGGCTTCTGGTTCCCATTTTCAGGAAGAGAGACTCCAACAAAATTTGCTGTTCACATAGTAATCCTAAAAGCAGGAGACCTTGGGTGGTGACACAGAAGAGGCACCGTTGCCCTCCCCCCTTGTTTGGTTATTCGAGACAGGGTTTCTCTGTGTAGCTCTGGCCTCTAGCTGTCCTAGAACTCACTCTGTAGACCAGTCTGGCCTCGAACTCACAGAGATTCGCCTCCCTCTGCTGCCTGGCTCCATTGCCCTTTTTCAATCTGCAGCTTGGCAGAAACAGAGCAGTGCAGAACAGACAGTGTAGTCTAGGTTTGGGTGACGGGATCAGACTGCTTGTCAATCAACCCAACCCTGTAGTTCAGTCTGTCTTTTGGGGTTTTATGAGGTTTCTTCTAAACTGTCCTCACCATTAAGAAAAAATACTTTTCAGAAATCAAGAAGTAAAAGTGGTGAGCATCTTGGTTTGGTATCAGGAGCATTTTGTGGAGTCTGCTGCTGACAACTTTTTGCATAGTGGCTAAGGTCACCAATACGGCAGCCACAAAGACCTATTCTTATCTGGTGTTTGCCTTGGAACCTGTAGGGCTATTGGGAGAAAGAAAAACACTCAGCTGTAGTAAAGGGAACTGATAACTCTAATCACATAACTAGCTTTTCCCCTAATGGTTTCTGGGTCATGGATAACTACTCCCAAAGTCCCTTATCATAGTGAGACCTGGGAGATTGAGAGCTATATAAACCAGACTTAGGAAGTCAACGGGCCATAGGAAAGCATATTATGCATGCCGGCGCATAAAGCCCAAGAGAAACAACATGAAATGCCTCGTGAGTACATTTTTAATTTTGCATGTGTCAAAACAGCCAAGGAGGTCTGCTCCCCTCTCCAGGAACTCTTCAAACTCAACCCAAAGAAGATTTTCAAACTCTGATTTGGCATGCAGAATCTGAGTGAATGGTGTTTTCTACCAGAATCAACAGCTAATTTCTTAAAAAGTCAGGACTCTTTCAGGGCTAGAGTCGCGTTTCTCTTTTACAAATTGCTGGTGGAAAAAAAGAATGACAGATAAACGTGATGCCAACTGGAATGGTGTGTTTTTGTTCCTTTAGATTTTTTTGAGACAAGGTCTCATTCTGTAGTCCAGGCTACCATGAAGTCCTTGTGACTAGCCTCACACTTTTGAGTGCTGGCATTAAAGGCAGGCATGACGCTCCAGCTTTCAATCGTCCAATAAGGCAGTCTTGCCCTCTGCAGCTCCCGCGTCTGTGGCAGACCTCATTGCTCTGCGGTGATAATGATATTGTAGAAGAGCCATTTCCTTGGCCTCTGAGGTGTCGCCTGCCTTTTGTTATTGAACTTGAATGCAGACTTTACACAGGTGCACAGAGGAGGGAAGAGCTGTCGGTTCCACTCCACACGGTGGGTGCACTTGAGCTGGGTGAGCCTCAAGTACATGATACACTATGGCCAGCTTATCCTAGCCCTCAGTTCTTTCATTGATATCTGATGCAGAGAATTCCCTCAATGGGCAGGGCAGGGCACACAGAGAAAATGAGTTATTCACATATTTTAAGGCCTAGATACATTCTAACATCATTTCCCCCACAAAATAGCGTGGGAATGGTGGTGAGTATCTTTTCTTCTCAGACAAGGTAAGAGAATCCAGAGGAATGGAAACCTGGAAGGAGTCAGTCTCCAGAGGGTTAGAGGGTAGGCAAGGGGGTGGAGCAGGGCCAACTGTAAGCTTTGGGGTTTGGGGTGAAGAGCCTGAGCAGAGGGTGTGCCCAGCCACAGAAGTAGAGGGGATGGTCCCGAAAGAAAGAGTGGGAACCCGAGCTATTGTGGCCCAGGCTGGTCGTGCCCTGTGTGGTGACCAGAGTCTGTAAGGTTGGCTATATCTACCCAGTGGAAGCCACACAGGAGGAATCCTTGAGTGACCGGCAAAGCTTTGTCTCCTGAGCAGCGGGCACACGCTGTTGGAGCACGGTACACTGTGGTCTCCTGACACACTCAGGGCCCTATAGGGGTGAGCGAAGGTGAGAGCTGTCGACCCTCATTAGAAAGATCGGTCCCGCACGGCAGACTCTGGAGTCTAAACTCATCTGAGGCTAAGGACAAAGCACATTGACCTTTGTTCCATTTCAGATTGCACCTTCCATTCTTGTGAGCATCTTTCTAGTTCCCTCTCTGGCCCTGATGGTGAGTACGGTGGAGGGGGCCCAGTCTGCAGGACTCTCTTTTAGCACAAACATTTCAAAGCTAACAGCCAAGGTTGGCATTCCCATACTCTTTCGTGGATTCCCCTTCACCCTACAGGGGACAGACAGGTAGACGCTTGGGGCCGCTGACTTTCCCACTGTTGATTGGTCTTTTCTAGAACATCAATGACAGTCATCCTCTGGATGGCTCTGTGGGGACCCAGACTATCCATGTCGATGCCCTCCGATGTATGGTCAGCATCCAAGACACCAACGTTTTGAGTGAATGGAATGGAATCGTGAACTACAAGAATGTAAGCTGTGAAACACACTAATTACAGTGCCAAGGAACACTTGTGTGGTCCAAATGGACCAGAGTGCTGTTCCATCTTCAGTGTCCTCCCCTGAGACTGGGTTGCTGTAGAAGTTATTTTGTCTGAACTCCATATTTAATGTGACTGCTGAAGGAATATTGCTGTGAACTACCCTCTCCTTCAGGAGGAAGACCAATTAGGATGACGCATGATCAGGAAGAGAACCCCAGTGCCTTGGCAGAACTCTAATAATGTTCTGTGACCACAGAGATATTTTTCTGCCTGGCAAACCTCAATTACTGTATCTGCAAAACAGCTCCAACCGCTGCCTCTTCTACCTTGTGGGACCCTGAGTCAACACCCACACTCTCACTCTGCCCTTTGCGACCCAGGCCCTCCTCACCCGGGTGTCACATTCTTGCCATGTTCTCTTCCTCAAACACCTTCTCTCTCTTCACCTCCCCACTCTTACTTTCCCAGGGAGATTCCCGGAATCCTTCCAGTCTACAGACTGATTACCTCTAAACCCTCGTAAAAATTTCCTCAAAGCAATATTCCACCGTAGGCCACTAGATGGCGCGAGGGAGGCAGAACTATTGCTAGAGGCTTAGCTTCTCGCAGCTGTGCTCGGGGCTCAGCCAGACCGAGCAGCATCAAACTGCAGCTCTGATCTAAGCCAGGAAAGAACAAATAATAGGCCACAAGGAAGGGGCATCCAGGACAGACCTAGCTCTAGAATCCAAGTGTCATGACGCAGGCCTCCTGACTGCCCTGGGTTTTCAGAGAGCCCTTTCCAACTTACACAACATTCTCCCAGGCAGTGGGGATCTCAGCTCTCCCCTCATGTTCATGACAACTTCATGGAAGAAAGGCCATTCCTCCTGCCTTACAGATAAAGAAACTGAGTCTCAGGGAGGCCACTGAGGATCCCAAGAGCCGTTGAGTAGCAGGCCAGGCCCTTAAGATCAACTGTATTGTATTACCATCTGCCCAGTCAGGTACACACACCTTGATGTTAGCATTTCAGAACATCCTAGGAGAGAAAGCCTTCACCATCAGGAGCAGAGGAGATGGTAACAGAGGGCTCAGTACCACACCACTCCTGATACCTAGTAGAGCACGGGGCTCAGTACCACACCACTCCTGATACCCAGTAGAGCACGGGGTTCAGTACTACACCACTCCTGATGCTGCCCTGTGCTCTGGCATCCAGGGTGCAGCATGCTGATACGTTCTGCATTGCAGTCAGACTAGCAGGGTGCGGACACCTGAGGGAGCAGGGATGTGAGCTCTGAGACTGACTGAATGCCATGTTTCTGCCCTGTTGCTTTAAGGCCCTCCTGGCAGTTAAACTGTTTAGTAAGATGGCCTGTGTCCTGGCCAAGATGGATCTAGCAGTCTTCCCAAGTTTGGATGATATTACCCAGGCCCTGGGCCAACAGGTGAGTGAGTCCAGTTCTCTCTGAGGCATCTACTAAAGGCTTTTCCAACTTATTATTGCAAGTCTCCTGGCAATACCTCACTCACAGGAGCTTCATTCATATCTGTTCTTCATGCCATGAAATCACACCATGTGCAAAGAACTCGAGGACAATGGCCCACTAAAGACAAGTCACAACTGAATCAATGACCTCATTTAGATGTATTCCCAATGGGTTCAAGCTATGCTAGAGAAGACAAGTGGTTGGATACAAACATCCCAGTGATTTCATGTCCCCTGCTTCCTATCTTTCCTGACCCACCACACACACACACACACACACACACACACACACACACACACACACACACACACTCATATGTCCATACACACCATTATTATTATCATCACCATCATCTTTAATTGCAATGAATCCCAAGGTTGCTGAAATTCTTGCCTACCCTCTCAAGTGAGACGGGTATTGTTAATAGGAATAAGTTAAAAACCATGAAGAAATCCTTGGCAGCTCATGGAATCTGTTCAAACTTTGCTTAAATATCAACACATTTGGATAGCATTCAGGACTGAGGGTAGCCAGACTAACTCCAGGAAAGAAATAAAAGTGTGCTAAAGCAATGCTATTTTTAAAAGAAGTTGGGGTGAAGAAATGGCTCAGAGGTTACCAACATTTGCTACTCTCACAGAGAAACCAGGTTTGGTTCCCAGCCCCCACAAGGTGGCTCACATCAATCTATAACTTTAATTAAACACTCATACACATAAATTTAAAATACATATCTTTAAAAGAGAAGTTGAAAGTGTCCCGTTCATCTAATTTGACAAAATACAAATGCAACAAATGTTTTAAACTACTCTGTGTTATCATTCTGGTTCAGAAAGCACCTAAGACTGATAGGAAACGCCACGCTTTTGCCCTCTTGTGGCTTGATAAAATATTGCATCTAGAGACACCTGGAAAGCAAGTCTGGGTTCACAAAGGGCACTGTTAACTGAATCCCACGCACGTTCACAACTTGCCTGTGGACCCCTTCTTGAATATATCTGAGACGCCCCCTCTTCCAGGCTTCCGGTCACTACCCACCCACCCGAGGACTGACCTACACAGTTTTACCCAGTCGAGTCAAAAACTTGGCCCAATACGGAGTGCCTGTCAAGGACCTGTGCAGAGCAGTCCCCACCTACTTTGCCCAACAGCAAAAAGAAGGTGTGTTCAAAAAGCAAAAAGAAGAGGTGCATATATTGAAAGATGCAGGAGGAGTTTCAGGCCCTATCAGCAAGCTGTAATGCCAGCTGATCCCATTGCTTCTCCAGTGAAAGAAAGTTGGCGTGGTCTGGGACAGGGAATTCCTTACGGGGCTCCTGGGGAAGGGAAACAGCCATAGCCTCATCAGAAGGCCAAAGCCAGTCATCTCCTCAGGGATTTGATGGCTGATGGACATCCTGCCCTGACCCACTCCCACTGTAGGGGAAGACCTGTGACTTTGGAGTCCTTGGTCCTACTCTTTCTCAAGGTGCCTGGAGCTCAATTGTTAGAGATGACACTGAATAGAATGGGATGGGATGGGATGGAATGGGATGGGATGGGATGGGATGGGATGGGATGGGATGGGATGGGATGGGATGGGATGGGATAGGGTGGAGTGGGATGGGGTAGGGTGGGATGGGATGGGATGGGATGGGATGGGATAGGGTGGAGTGGGGTGGGGTAGGGTGGGGTAGGGTGGGGTGGGATGGGATGGGATGGGATAGGGTAGGGGGTAGGGTAGGATAGAAGAAGCTGATGGCTGGCAGTCCTGCTGGGAGTGTGAAGGGGATCAGTGACCCGAAGAGCCTAACGAGCAGGGCTAAGACTCCAAGATCTGCCCATGAGTCCCTGTGAAGTCAGCAACATGGCTGTTGCCACTCTCTTTATACCTTGGTCTAAGTTTCCCCACAAGCCATAGTTCTTTAAAACATGAGGATCCAGGAGAGAAACAGAACATGCCGGGCTAGGGGGTTAAAACACATAATAAAGGAAGAGTGAAAAAGAAAGAGGTGATTATTGCAGGGGCTGGAGAGAGGGGCCTGGGTGGGCTTGCACTGATCTGAGCATTTATCCAATGCAGGTGCCTGGTGTACCTGTTGACTCTGACCTTATCTCTAAAGTGCAGTTCCTTCCTCTTGAAGGTACTGCCCTGGCGATGGACCCAGACTCCTGTTCTGAGCTCCAGTTTATGTCCTTCATGGGGCTGTCCATCTGTGGTGAGATTCCTGGGCTCTAAACGTCTACATCAGCCATGTGAAGATTGGATATGCCTGCTCCAGCCTCTGCCTGTGGAAAGCAGCTCTTTCCAGTCCTCTGCCTTCTGGCTTTCCATACAACACTAGCCCTGTAATCTGGGGTGGGGGTGGGGTGGGTACGTTTTCTACCTTTGAGGAAGAAATAATAAAGTATCCATGTCACTGGTCTAGCAGACAGATTCCCTCATCCTCTGTAGGCTCCCTCACCCTCTGCAGGCTCCCCCATCCTCCGCAGGCTCCCTCATCCTCTGCAGGCTCCCTCATCTTCTGCAGGCTCCCTCATCCTCTGCAGGCTCCCTCATCCTCTGCAGGCTCCCTCATCCTCTGCAGGCTCCCCCATCCTCTGCAGGCTCCCTCATCCTCTGCAGGCTCCCTCATCCTCTGCAGGCTCCCCCATCCTCTGTAGGCTCCCTCACCCTCTGCAGGCTCCCCCATCCTCCGCAGGCTCCCCCATCCTCTGCAGGCTCCCCCATCCTCTGCAGGCTCCCTCATCCTCTGCAGGCTCCCTCATCCTCTGCAGGCTCCCTCATCCTCTGCAGGCTCCCTCATCCTCTGCAGGTTCCCTCATCCTCTGCAGGCTCCCCCATCCTCTGCAGGCTCCCCCATCCTCTGCAGGCTCCCTCATCCTCTGCAGGCTCCCTCATCCTCTGCAGGCTCCCTCATCTTCTGTGCACTGCTAGCCATGTCCTACAGCATTGGGGCGACTCCACCAGAAACTTTTATTTCTGAATCTTTTTAGGCTATCCCTTGAGAAGTTTTGGCAATAAATGAACAAACCACCAATGGCACCCAGTCTGGATGGTCAGACCTAAGGCTGCACTTGTCTCCTGAAAACTGGGATTGGCACTCCTGAGATGTCTCTTTCTTGTGCCAGTCCAGCTACACAGTGACAACCCATAGAGTGGTCCTGGAGCCTCCCTCTAAAACTCTAAGCAATGCCCCTTAGATAAGTGTGCCCATGCCCATTGCAAATCACTAAAGATGCAGATATTCAGCTGTCATTCTGTAACTGTCCCCCTTGCAAGGACAACCCTGTCTCTTTCACTAAAACCTCCACCCATGTGGTGTCACCTAACTCTCCCCATCCCTGCTGTTCCTTGGAACCTTGGGGACAAGGTTTTCAAGTTCTTTCTGGAGTGGTTTTCAAGTTCTTTCTAAAGCAGACCTCTGTTGTCCCCAGCAAGGCACCCCCACAGTTGTCCATGACCACAGCCTCCTCAGCTTCGTGGAAGGACCAGAGCCTGAGGCCTCAGGTCCTGACTCCAATCCGGGAGCCACAGCACAAGTTGCTCAGGGCTGTCAGGGTGACATCCATGCCAGCTTGTTTCCTGAGACTGCTGCAGGCCGGTTGGCTTCCCTTTCGTTCAGCCCAATGACAAATGTTGAAAGGAGATCAAGATTTGTTTTGAGGCCTAAGATGAGGCACAGCCCTTCCTTTCCTGACCTGGCCTCCCTGACAATGTTACCTCATGACCCCACCATGGCACACACAGCTCTGGACATCAGTATTCACATCCCCATCACAGGAAGAGGAATGAGAAAGAGCAAAGAACCAAATTCGTGGCCATCTGAATCTAGATTTCTTTCTCTGGAAAGAACATGGATCCTGGAAGCCTCATTTAGCAGACTTCTGCCTACATGTTATTGGTCAGAGCCTTGGTCACCTGACCACTCTAGGCCAATCTGCCTCTTGCTTTCTTAAGAGAAAATATGATCTTGTTTTCTTAGGAGAAACAGGACTGACTTAGCCCAGGCTTTCTCCAAATTTAACTATTAACACGTTGAACCGGAAAATTCTTTGCTGTGGGGCCATACTCTGCATGGCAGAGTTGAACACTGTCTGTCCTTGCATTGCTACAGGCCAGAAGAACCTTCTCTGGCTGTGACAGTGACAACAGCCCATCTCCTGGGGACAGGGGAGAAGTCATATATAGTTGAAAACTAACTTGACAGATCATGGTTAGGCCCCTACAACTAAAGGATGCCCAGAAGGAATGCTTAGCCTCTGCTTACACAGCCTGGGGTTGCGCTGGCTGGAAAGAAGGGGCTGGGGAAACGACTGGTGGGCTGTCGGTGAGCTTGTTTTGAAGAGGAATATTAGACAGCTGTAATCAGCTGCAGATAAGTGACCCTTTCTCTAGATTTCCTCAGCAAGGGTCACCCCCATGCCTTTAGAAGTCATTTTTCATATTTTGTTCAGACATAACTATAATGGGAGGAAAGCTGGACTGATCTAAGTTATTTCACTATTCTCAGAAACCAAAAGCTCAATGTTGATTTTTACCTCACCATCCATTCATTATGTTTGCCCAAATAAACATTGCTAAATTCATTCATTGTGTCAATAATCCTAACAGATAATTCTACAATGAAATAATGGGGTCTGTATCTTCTAATACCAACATCTATGGATGAATAGAATGCACTTTATCCCCCTTAGATGAGCAAATGTGTGTGTATGACATGGGATTTTGTAGATGTAACCATCTTGTTAAATAAGAAACACAGCCAATGCAGAGATGAAAGCCCAAGAGGTCAGAGCTAAGAGCTAAAAACCTTACCCTTCACTGCCACTGCTGTCCTCCTCAGCAAGAGAACTACTTCCTGTGTGTTTGTCTTCTTATAGACTTTCTGTTCTGCCTTCTCATTGGTTGTAAACCCAACCACATGACCTCCTTGTCACTGCCCATCTATACAGACCTCCAGGTCTTCTATGGTTGGTATTGAGATTAAAGGCGTGTGTCTCTACGCTGGTAGTATCCTTGAACACACAGAGATCTGCCTAGCTCTGCCTCTCAAGTGCTGGGATTAAAGGCGTGCACCACCACCACCCACCTTCTGCTATGGCTTGCTATTAGCTCTGACCCCCAGGCAACTTTATTTATTAACGTACAAATAAAATCACATTTCAGTACAAATAAAATATCACCATAGGATTTGATTTGCTGTGAGAAGGAACTCTTAGGAAATAACAGTCCCATCTAGCACTCCACCCGACCTTGGCTCCTTCAAGGACTCCTTTGACAAGCTGGCTGCAGGCAGGGTTGATTTTGTGTGCCTTTTGTGACCTGGGGCCTCTTCCAGCATTTGAGACCATTGGTCCAGGCTCAATCCTCTTTGCTCATGGCCCAAGGAGCACCCCAGGCTTGAGCACCCCGAGTTAAAAGTTGATATCTACTTTCCTTGGCCCTTAGAAGGGGCTAACTATGAGGAACTATAGCAGGGCCCCAGCCTGCCTAGGAGGAAGGGGTGATTTAGAGACAGCAAAGTGAGGAAACAGACCTGTGACTCTACTTTCAAAGTGGAACCAATACGATTAAAGCAAAAGGAATTGTATGAGCAAACCCCCAAGGAGGTTGCAAATGCTAATACTCTCCCTGTGCCCAACTGCTCATCCTGGCCATGGGAGCCAACCTGAGACTTTGGAGCTAAACCAACTCATAGCCAGAATGAAGAGAAGCCCTGTCTCTCTGGCAATGAAGCCAAGATGGATTCCCTGTGGTGGACCGTGGTGCTGGTTCTCTCTCCTCATGCAGAAATCCATGAAGATGCAGAGGCTGCCCAGAAAGAATACAGCTGAGAGGTGGGGAAAGAATCTGGACATTATTAAGCCCCCAGCTCCAGGATGCCCCTCCTCTTCCTCTGCGACCAGCTACATAAGACTCTCAGCTTACCCTCAGCTGCAGCAAATCTGGCTTGGGTTCCACAGCTCACAGATTCCTAAAACACTCTGTCCTCTGCTTGGCAGACTAGAGTACACTTGATGCTGCTGTCATCAGACTCTTTATAAAAGTGTGCATGCCTTTGATCCCATCACTCGGGAGGCAGAGCCAGGCGGATCTCTGTGAGTTTGAGACTAGCCTGGTCTACAGAGCGAGTTGCAGGACAGGCTCCAAAACCACACAGAGAAACCCTGTCTTGAAAAAAAAAGAGAGAAAATAAAAGAAAGAAAGAAAGGAAGAGAGAGAGAGAGAGAGAGAGAGAGAGAGAGAGAGAGAAAGAAAGAAAAGAAAAGTCCCATTTCCCCACCAAGAAAATAGCACCCTTGACTATGGTAGCTTGAGCTTCTTGTCCCATCATTCCCCAGCACCGAGTACACAGAAGGCACTTCTGATGTGTCAGTCCATGGGCCAGTGTGAGGACTAGGAAGACGCAGTGATAGAGACGGGTTCCTGTTAAGTCTCTCTTGGTTATGAACTTGCATCCAGCTGCCCAGACTACATGAAACCTGGCTAACTGGTCTGGGAATTGGTCCACACGATGTCATTCATTTTAAGCCTTGGACACTTTTCCTGCAGTGCATTAGCTTGGAATCCCAGCTTCACTGTTTCTGTTCCTGGTGTTACTACTGCCCCTCCCTCCCTGATCACTTTGGGTTGGCACAAAAGAGAATATTATCCCCTGTGACCAAGACTGGGGCTTCAGCAAATTAACACACGCACCTTAAAAGGTACCCGAATGGCCCTCAAACCTGAGTCATTGGTCAGAAGAGGGAACTTCTTTCATTAGAGCAATGAGGCTGTTAAATAAGAGTATGCCCCATCCCACCCTCTTCCCATTCAAAGCCATGGCCACCCGAGTCCCTGCTCAACCCTGCTGTCTGAGCCTTGAGTCCACAGGTGGGCAGCTGGTCTGTGGGCAGCTGCAGAGGGAGACGGAGGCTCATACCCCACTAGTTAGACTGTACGTGGCTCGGCCCCATCATCTGGACATTTTCATACATTGTATACCTTATTTGGAGTCCTTCTATATATTAAGGTCAACATCGCTTGGCTCCCCACTGTGTCCATGAAAGGAACAAACACACAAATATCTGTAAATATATCATTTATGTGTTATTATTGAATCTCGTAAGTAGGTGGAATGTTGGGACGCATCTAGTTTGGCTGCTGAGTGGAAACCAAAGGTGAACTTCTTAAGAAAGATGAAGGCAGCTGATGGACCATCTCAGATGTGAATTCCTGCACAGATGGAGACTCCCAGGAGCCCCAGGAGGCCAACCTTTGCACAGGCTCCAGTGGACACCTCTTCTGGAAATGGGAAAAATGTAATGAAATGGTATTAAAAATGCGTTTCAATGCAGCAAGCCAATAGTTTCAAAGGGGCCTGAAGGGGAAGGACTTGTCATTTCATAGCACCAAGATTTTAGCCATAGCTGTATTACTGCTGCTGCTACTACTACTAAATTAACTTACATAAGAATGGCAGCTCTGCCGGGCGGTGGTGGCGCACGCCTTTAATCCCAGCACTCGGGAGGCAGAGCCAGGCGGATCTCTGTGAGTTCGAGGCCAGCCTGGACTACCAAGTGAGTTCCAGGAAAGGCGCAAAGCTACACAGAGAAACCCTGTCTCGAAAAACCAAAAAAAAAAAAAAAAAGAATGGCAGCTCTGGAGTTTGCTGTGCTGTATCTTGGTAGATGCTGCACGGCTCTGCATTGACAGCATGCTCTTCTGCCTCTCTAAGCCCTTATGAATGCTGTCTTTCTGGGCAAATGCGCAGCACATGCTGACACCTTCTTCTTCACCTCCCACTACTCTGACAAATGTCTCTTGTTAAGTTCATTGTCCACTGGTTCTGGTCACTTTGCCACAGTCAGTGCAAAGTTCAGCGATGATCACAGTGCCCTGTGACACCCAGCTGCCATCCCCTGCCTATGTGCTCACTCCATCCTCTCTTCCCTGGACCACTATGCCAGATCCTGGCAGCACTCCTAAACATCTCCAGAGAATACTGTTTGGAAGGTGCTCCAGGAATGCTTTTCTACATGGAGCAATTTACATGTGAAAAATGAGGATCGCAGGTTTGAACCCTTCCCGACCCCATTGATCCTTTTCACTCATTCCCTTTCCCACTGCACCGAACCCCTCGGAGGCAGAGTTTTGCCCATTTCTGTGCTCCTGGCAAAGCTAACAGTGCATTCACATAGTAGGAATTCAATTCCTAAAGAACCTGAACTGAGTCATGTTTTCACTTATGCATATTTTACACAGCCCGTCCCCGCCCCCCACTGCATGGCACACAGCAGCTTCCAGAACTTGATTGGCTTCTTTGGTACTCACTTGGCTTTGTAACCACCTCCCCCTCATACAGGGGGATGTGCTTGCACAGCTGCTCAATAGGCGACCCAAACAGGAACCAATCCACCTTCATGATCAGCGACTTCAAAGGGTTATACTTGACCCAAGTGTACTCTCTGGAGTCCATGGTGCTCATTGCCTAGGTGACGTAACAGAATGGTGGTAGAGAAGCTAGTGAGCCTGGTGGACCTGACTTTAAATTGTGAGTGGCTTTCTCTTTGCAGTGGTTAATTAAAGGGCATTCGGACATTTCAAGTCATGGTTTCCGCTGGCTACTCTGCCTGGGGGAAAAGCTCGTTTTTACCCACAGTACTTCACTGCAATAAACCCACAGAAGGCAAATCTCCTGAAAAGGGAGAGGCAGATGGAGCAGTGTAGACAGGGCTAAAACTAGGTGTCTAGCCTCAGCGCACTGTGTGGAGAGTCTCGCACTTTGGTAGTATCTGTCTGTGTGTTTGTATTCTTAAATATCATGAACGTACTCATTTTCAACCAAACATTTTATCTTAGATCTCACCTCCAAGAAGAAAGGTTTACCAGCGCCATCTCCAAAGACAGTTCATTTAAGTTCTTATAAATTCATGTTTTCAGGGCTCTATGATGAAAACTGAGCCGAGATGAATTTCCGCTCCTCCCTCCCCCAAATGTGAAAACACGTTAATAAGTTGAGCATCACAGGCATGGAAACATAAATTATGGTCTACTGCCTCATCCACATCTCTCTGTGGGCAGCCGCATGGGCTGGCTCAGGAGCAGACTTTTCAAGGAATCCCAAGCTACCTGCTTCTCGTAGAGGTACCGTTGGAGTTTGTCCAGAGCAGGGATGGCTTTGTGGTCCATCTTGAGGACGTAGCAGGCTCTTCGGGAGAGCACCCGGGATGCGATGTAACCCTGAGGGAGCGACAGCACAGTTACTGACTCTGAAGTTTCCAGGATTCTGATTTGGTGAGGCTGACACTGAGTCTCAGAAGAAAGGACTGAGTATCCACTGTGAGTTAATGTCGCCTGTCAGTCTGAGATTCTGTCCACTCATCTTTGATATGGAGATTTTGTTTTTCCACTTGTCTCCTGTACACCCATGCAACTGGCACATCCTCTTTGTGTTCTGGAATTGAGGCCTACAACATAGAGTTTAAAGACCGAGAAGGATGGCTCTCTGCCTCTTTCCTTTGAGTTTTATCCAGCCTGTTCTTCATTCTTGACTATCTACAATATCCTTTAGGACTGGATCATTCAATACCATAATGGCTCCACATGTGGCTATTTAAATTCAAATCCAGTGAAATTTACAAATTATTTCACGGTGCACTTTGAGTACTCAGTAGCCACAATAACTAGAAGCTTCCCTTCTGGAAAAGTCAAACATAGAACATCTCGACCTGGCTTGACGTTCTTAGGCCATGCTGTTCTAGAAGTCTCCTGGGCATGCTTACATCTACCCTCTTCTCACATGCTTTACCTGTTCACCCTTCCTTTTCCCTCTTCTCCATCCTTTTCTCTACCTCAGACTCTACCTACCACACAGAGAGGGTAAACTGAGGAAGCTGCATTAGGACAAGACAGGTGAGTGGGAGTCTAACATGAGGAAGGATCACAGGCTGTCATATTTTGACCTTGAGTGGAAATTTTCCGTGATGCTTCAAATATATAAAAAAAACACTCTACTTCCCATTTTTCAATCCTCAAAAGTCTTAGTACCTAAGTTTAACAAGAGACCAAGACACCAAGGCTGATGAGAGAGGAAGAGCTTAAACAAATCTCCACAATTCGATTTTTTAAAAAGCCACTTTTGGGATTTCCATGAAATCTATTTGAAGATAATTTTAATTGCACTTCTGTTGAGGACTTCAAAGACTCTATACTCAAAAGGTGGCATGGAATTCCCAGCAGCCCCAAGAGAATGCAAGTGGGGAGTTTTGAGAAGAAAAAGGGAAAAAAAAACCCAACTTCAGACACCCATTGTTGGTGTCCATGCCGGGTATCTGGGGTAAGGCAGCCCATAATAAGTGTTGGAGAAAGAAATCAGTGAATTAATCCAAATCAGTAAATGGATGGAGGACAATAAGCTTTTAGAACAAGTTTCTGAGACTTATTGCCCTGGTAACCACCACTGGGAAGGCCTTGTAGCAAGGATCATGTGGTCCGGTCTACAGAAATAGTTAAGTGTGTGCATTGTTCTGGGTTTCTGCTTGTTTTCTGGTTGTTTTGTATCAGAAGTTCTCATTTATTCATCCAACAGGCAGTTTCCTGTTCATGTTCTAGGCATTGCTTTGATTATTCTTCCAGTCCGTGTCTGGGCCAGTAGGGGAACAACATCATCATCACTGTTGAGTAGTAGTTTTATTTACTTGCTTGATTTTTTAAAGGGAAAGGGAGAAGTGAGGAAAATTTTAAGGACGTGTAAAGATAGATAGTAAAATTTAAATATATACACAATGGCTGACCCACGCCGCCCTTTAAAAGCCAATCTTCTGTAGATCCCCTTGCTGCTTACATGCTTATAGTCAAAAATGGTGGTTGAAGAGCACGACCCTGCGTGGATGTTGACGGTGGCAGTGTTCTTCTCGTTGTCGATGGTCACTGTCTCCTGGACATTGCCGCCATTGGTGCTTGGGGTGAAGATGTTAAAAACCTAGAGAGACAGCAGAGACAAAGTAAGCTTTCTATAAACAGTGTGCACTGAAAAAGTAGCTCATTCACCAGGATAAACCACCACTGGACAGCTGGAAAGCCATTGAGGCTCATCTTGAGTCAGAGTGGAAAGCTTTGCCTGCTGCTTTATTATGTTATGTGTAAAAGAACAAAAGCGATGTCATTGCAAGGGAAACAGGACTCACCACGTTTTAGCGTGGTGGGTTACACTGTGTGTGGGTTACGCTGTGTGGTGGGTTACACTGTGTGTGGGTTACACTGTGTGTGGGTTACACTGTGTGGTGGGTTACACTGTGAAGGCATTGCAGGCAGAAATAGATAACCACTTCATCTTTCCCGTTACTGGGATTCCATCTCAGCGAAGACATGTGGACTGCCCAGTCCTTGGGATGGCCTGGTCTCTCATAGCTCTTACCTTCTCCCACAGCTCCAAGAAGCCAACTCACCTCATCTGCCTGAGATTGTATTCCAAAGATGGACAGTACCACCAGAAATGCCACCTGAAAAACACATCAGTTCTCTGTGGGGTAGTCACTCAATGAGGGGGTCAGGAGGAGACAGTGGGCACCTAGGGACAGCAGCCAGCCCTTACAGGTGGCCAGCAGTTCATGTTATTTGTTAGACACACGGTGGGCAGGTGAGCAGAGAAGGACTGAATTACCAGGGGAAAACCTGGCCTGAGCCACAACCGCTTTGGGATTAGTGGATAAGTTAAGTCCTCTAATCTAAAGGGAAAATGTCAGTTTCTTGAGACTGAGGTAACGAACCATTTGAAACGAATCCGTGAGTGACGTGGTCACGGTGGGTTTTTGAGAACAGCTATGGAAGGAGGATACTGGGAGCACAGTTAACCTTTGACCTCAAAGAAAGCATCCATCTGCTGCCACAGCCCACATCTCAGGGGTGCTACTGACTCAGCAGGGCCAGCGAGCCGTTGGGCCTACCCAGAAGCAGCACTGATGCTGTGCTGGGGTCGTTTCCAGGTCTGTGCTGACATCGGCAGCAGGTGTCTTCTCTCTTCTGATTGGCACAGTGAACTCTACTGCCCGTTAAGTTACTGGTAGGTAGGAGGAAAATCGTGGGGAGAGCACACACTTCCAAGACCTGCCTGTGGGGCTGCTGCCCTCCTGTGCAAACCTTTCCTCACATCTATCTTCTGGGGCCCGGGGTGGAGGCTCTAACAACAGCGTCCATGCAGACACCCTGCAGTCCACTTACGTGGGGCTCCCCCACCCTACCTCAGGTAGCTCCGGAGCCTCAGACACTCCTGTATGTTCTATTTAGTGGGTCTAGACTAGAAGTTTGGACAAGTGAATCAACTAACCATCTCAGTGGATGCCGAGAGAGAGCACAGGAAGTGTCCTCGGCCCCCAGATCCTTCCTATCTACACCAAGGTTGGTACAATTTGGTATAAGTTTGAACTTCAGGTTTAGATCTACTTCTGGGAAATCAAGAGACATTGGGAGAGGACTCAGTTCATCTGACAGTCTTTGTCACGCCAGGGCTGACACTTAGTGTGCAGCTTTCTCTATTAGTGGCTGAGTGAAAACAGGAGGCAGAGGCTGGGGGAGGGCTTCCATCCTGTATCCGAGCACACAGGGTGGAGCCATGGAATCTGGTATCAGACAGGAAAAGGGAGTCATCTTCCCTAATAAAGAGTTTAGGCATGAGAGCACTCTGGTTGCTCTAAGTTCACCTAATTGCGACCGCGCACAGGGCCCAAGCCAGGGAGACCACGTCCTGAGTCCCATGTTTACAGATTTGGAGAATTCAGTCTCCTCTGCCTCAGTCTCCTCAACTTCATAAAGAGGGCAGCAGTGCTGGTGTGCACTGTGGGCACAACAAGCAGAGGTGATTGTCCGTGGGAAAAGCTGGGGCTCAGCACAGTTTGGGGGTAGCTGCTCTCATTCTTGTTACAGACATTGCTTTTAAAGTATCGCATCTCTTTCAGATGATAAATGCAATTACTCTCAAATGCCTACACCCCTCACAAAGTGAAGAGACAGGATTATTAGTAAACATCCTCCAAATAAATCTCTACATGTTTCTATTTTTTTCCTTTGTACATTTTGAGTAAACCCAAGAAATACAGGCAATGGACACACAAAAATTCAACATTATTCCCTCCCCACACACTGTTAATTCAGTCCCAGAAGCATAGACCTGCACAGTGTTTGTCTAAGACCCTTGAAACCCGCAGCGATTGGCTACAAGCAGCGTGAGCAGCAGCAAGGGCTCAGAGAACGTGAATGCATGCATACTCACAGGGGTTTTCATTTTGCCGGCAGAGAAGGAGCTGGAGTGAGTGTGGACGCCTGTGCAGTGTCCAGCCTTTATACCGCTTTCAAGAACTGGACATCTCTTTCCTGAGTGGTCATGTCAGAAAAGATCAAGTCCATATCTCTGACACACCCCAGCAAACTCCCTTATCAGGACGGAGACCTAACCACATCCCAGGTCTCAGTGAAGTTTGTTAGTCAGTTCTGACAACTCCCCATTGGTCACTCCGCAAACACTCGTAGCTTATCTGTCCAGGTTGAGCTCCCGCCCTATAACAATACTGTAGACGCTTGCTCTTCACACATAGACACTGGAGGAGCATGCTAGCTCCCTTCCCGAATGTAAAGTCCTTAAGACTTCCGGTCCCCACTCAGGGTCTCTTCAACACTGCCCAACTTGCTGACTTAGTCCGCTTCAGCGTCATACGTGAAAACAGAGGTGAGGATAGCGGCTGGAGAGTTTTGCTTAGAATATGAACAGCCCCACGGCTGTCTTTCCTTCCTTTAGAGTTGGTGGCAGTCTGCAGAGATTCATGAGGACCAAGATTTGGGAGTCTAACAGCACTAACCAAATGTTTCAAGCGGCCCTTGTCCAGGGCACCATGAACAGTGGGTGACACATCTCCACTTACCTTAAGAAATTTTCATATTTTAAAAAGATTGAGAGAGCAAAGCAGAGCTTAGTTTGATTAATTTTTACTGCCACAGTTAGAAATTGCTAATTAGATTGGGGGCTGATGAAGTTATAAGGGAAGGGAGGTTTTGTTTTTAACACAACTGTAACATATGAACGATTGAGCAAGGAGCTAAAATGCACAGTTAATGTTTTAGTAGTGGACATTTAGGGGTTCCCTGGTTCTGTAGAACCCTGCTGCCTTGGCTGCCCAGCTGGGATGAGGCAAAGGGTGTGTCTTTCGTCTGAGCTCACTGTGGCGGGAATGAAACAATTTTGTAGTACATCTGCCAATGCTCTCCCATCCCTGCCTCAAGTGATACGGAGAAGTAAGAAGGCCAGGGCTCTTGAAAGGATTGCTTTCAAATGTGTAGGTACCCTCTGCCTTGTTTTACCCATCCCCAGGAGTTCCAGGTCCATAGGCCTATTGATGACACTGTTAGCATTTATGGATCATGTCCCAGGGCTTTCTAAACACTTGGCGCATATTAATTCAGTAGTGCTTCTGGTTCTGGTCCCATTTCCCGGGAAGAATGCCAAGGTGCAGGGAACTTAAGGAACTAACTCCTTGGGACCACACAACTTCTAAAGGTGGGAGCTGAGGCTTGAGCGTGGTCTGATGCCAGAGTCCACCCTTTTAACCACAAGTCCTCTCAGACTGTGTGAGGCAAGCACAAGTCCTCACCTTGCTGGGGTAGGGCATGAGCAGCCTTCAGAGTCTAGCTTGCTCCCAGCTCAAAGACAGCCTTGGAAATTGTGAGGCTTGGCCACAACTCAAGTGAAAATTCACTGGGGAAATATGAAGCTAGCTGCATTGATAAACATTGCTATGAGCAACACCCCTGCCTATGCCTCCCATTTTCAGAGGGAATAAAGTCACAGACACAGAGGGACCTGTGCCGAGCAAGTCCACACCTCAGGTCTGCTGCAGCAGGACAGGTCTGTGAGGCCGTGTGGGTGTGGACCTCCGAAGCACCCACCTTCAGAGCTGTTTAAATTCCCACAGGTGTTGTTCTTTATAATTTTGCTTTTAGTCTTGCTTTCAAAATGTTTCCAATGTCCTTAATGCGTTTTCCCACATTTTCTTAAAGTCTTGCTTTTCCCATTTAAATTTACTATTACTTCTGAGTGTAGTGTGAGGCTTCAATACATTCTTTTTTTCCACTTGGACATCTAGTAGTTCCTACATCTGTTAGTAAATAGTGGAGCTCTTTGCCACTAACTTCTAAAGCCATGCAGTTTCCATGGAAATAGCCTCCTGATTGCTGCCTCCATGCCTCATTGGTTCATTTATTACCCAACAATGATGACTCCCAGATCTACAGATGGGTGCTGGAACCCAGTAGAGCAAATCCCCCAGTGTTGCTCTTTCTAAGTGTTCCTGTCTGTGAGTTTCCTCAAGCACCCACTTGCTTTCCTTTTTGCTGATTTCTACCTTGGTTCTTACAGAATCACTGTGCCCTTTGTCTGACGTCTTGAGCTGAACATTGTTATGCTACATTGAGTCTCTTCTGCTATTTTAAATGGAAGCATTGAGAAATATTATACTTACCACTAAGTACACTTTATTTTCATCATATAACTATTTTACCTTTAAAAAAAAACTTCTTAATTCTTGCTGTGATTTTTTTCTTTAACCCAGTTATTAAGGTGTTTTTCAATTTCGTTCTCTCTCTCTCTCTCTCTCTCTCTCTCTCTCTCTCTCTCTCTCTCTCTCTCTCTCTTTCTCCAGCCCTCTCTCCATTTTCTGGCATCTATTTCTTCTCTTTCTCCTACTCCTGACCACTGTCTGCCTAGTGATAACCACTGGAGAATTTTCTGCCTACCAGAAAACATAAATAACTATTAAAAACAGCAAATGTGAATATATGGAATTAGAATTACACAAGAATCCAAAGCATAAACTGTACTGGCCAGATATATCAACTAGAAACACGAAAGATCACATTTACAGTGCCCATTGTTTTCCATGAAAATAACAACCCTCTTCCTGTGACGACCATAAAGCTTCTCTCATGACGCTCAGCTGGGGAGAAAGGGCAGAAGAGAGTTGCTCACCTCACCTTCAGACATTGACAGGATGGCCAACAAAATGCACTAAGAGCAGCAGCCAACACAGTAAGCTCAGAACGGGGGCTTCCTAAAATCATTGTTACTACTATAGATAAAGTAACCTCAGAAATCATTAGGGAATTGGGGCCCCGGGCAGAATTATTAACTTAAAATAAAAGCAGTATATCTGGAAAAATCTCCAAGCATGTTAACTTTAGAAGTCACTTTTAAATAAGCCATAGGTTAAAGAGGAAGCCATATAGAAATTACAGAATATTTTTCATTAAATGGACTTAAAATATGATGTTAAATGCTTATGTTAGGATATTTGCCTTCAGAAATTTGAAAAAAGGGAGGCCAGAAAGATGGCTCAGGGGTTAAGAGCACTCACTGTCTGCTTTTCCAGAGGACCCGGGTTTGATTCCCAGCACGCACATGGTGGCTCACAACTGTCTAAAGCTCCAGTTTCAGGGGATCTTCTGGGTAAGTGAGGTGCAAGGTCAAGGGCAGGCACAGCTAGAAGCTGCTTTCTCTGGGAGGTTTTGCTGGTTTCCTAGGAGGCTCAAACTGTGAATCCTGGTGTCTTCTCCCAGATTTCAGACTCTCACAGAGTGCTAAACAGGAGATTGGTTCTCGGATACTAGCTCTCTTTACTTCTGGGATAGCATTTTTCTCAGGAGACTTAAAGCTGGGTATAGCCATGTAATGTGTTGGGTTAATAAATACCAGGAATGAAAAAATGTGAAAAAAAAATCACAGTTCCCCCCAAAGAACCTCAAGCAGAAAGTTAAGGGGGAAATAACAAAGAGAAGAGTGGAAGCCGGTATGGCTGAAATGGTAGGAAGAGGATGAAACTCCAGGGTCTTGTTGAAATTGTCAGTGAGGCTGAGACCCTGGAGCCAACAGAGCAAGAGAACAGAAGGGGAAGGTATTGACTCTTCCCACCAGAAGGGGGCAAGGGGGTCACTGCTGCACACCTTACGCCCACTGACGCACAGTCACGAAACTGTGTCAGCGGCTCTGTATCCACAAACCCAACCACCCAGAGCAAACGGCCCAAGTTCCCACCAAACAACTACCAAACTGAGCCAAGAAGAAACAAATTGCCTCAGTGGTTCTAAATATTCTTTTCTTTTTGCATTGAATTCTTAGCTAGAAACCTCGCAAGAGAAGCTCCGCGTTCAGATGGCGCCACACGGGTTCTATCAGACACACACAGAGGAGAGAGTGCTGATTCTATGTAAACTCTTCCGCAACACGAGAAAGGAGAGAACAAGTCCCAAGTCAGTGTTGAGTCCGATGTTATGCTTATAGGAAGATAGACAGAGATGCTGGAAAACAGCAAAACCATTGGACCTAGAGCCCACCTGAGGACAGACAGACAGAATCTTAAAGAATGCTGGCCTTACTGAAAGCAGAAGTATTGGAAAACAATACACTGTGGCCAAACGAAGCTATTTTCTAGGATGGAAGAGCTGTTCAACATTTGAAAATCAGTCAGCAGTACACTCAAATACAGGAAAGACACAACGGAACCATCCATCCACCGTTTTTTGAGACAGAATCCCTTACCATCCTGAAGTCTCCCAAATAGGCTAGGCTGCCTGACCACTGAGCTCCAGGGAATCCACCTGTCTTTGCCTCCCAAGGATTACAAGCACCATGCCTAGCCTTTTTAATGTGGGTTCTGGGGATTGAACTTGGGCTGTCCTGCTTGCAAGACAGACACTCTACCAACTGAGCCATCTCTCAGTCATTTCAGTTGCTGAATGAGTAGATGAACTAAGGACCATTATGTAACATAAAAGGAAAAGAAACAACACTGTAAGAAAGAATTCACCATGGCACATAAGAGACACAAATTAGGGGAGGGGGTCATGTTCCATCCCTAGCAAGCAGCAGAACTTGACAGCTTTAGCCATGTGGTTCTGGCTTTAGAGTCAAGGAAAACCACTAAGGGAAACCACTGAGGCCCGGCATGTGTCAGGGGGTTCCCTGAATGGAGGCCTAGAGAGGCCATCATGAGAAGCTGTAAAGGTATAACCTGGATTGCCTTGGAGACCCCAAGATATTGGAGATGCCAGAGCTGTGGGATACCTGCTGAGGAGAGCTGCTAACAGGGAGTTGAACCAGCCCAAGAGAGAGAAGTATGCTACAGTCAACAAAGCTGAAAGAAGTTGGAGATCTGAAGAGTGTTTTCACATCAGACATAAAGATGCAGAGTATAAGGTTTGCCCGACTGGTTTTTGGTCTTGCTTTGGTCCAGTATTTCCTCACTATGTTCCCTTTCCTATGTTTTGAAACAGTAATATATATCCTGTGCCATTATATTGAGGAACCCAGGCCCCTGCCCGGACCCCTGCCTTGACTATTCTGCAGCCATGATAGGCTGTGAAAAGACCCAACAGGATGTAGGCCCCTGGCACAGCATGATGTGCCCTTGAGCCCCCGACCTTGGGCCTAGCTCTGTGTACAGGAAAACCCTACCAGATGTCCCCATACAATAAAAGAAGTCAATTAAAAGTTACAGCTAACAGGTTCATGATAAAGCAAGCCACATGTAGGAGCCACAATAACTGCTGAAAGAGATAATAGCTTTCTTGCAGCTGCAAACTAACCAAGGATAGCACCTCCAGATGGGAGATACATCAATCCTGAGTCTACTCCTATGTAGTCTGTAGACCCGACACCCCCTTGCTTCACCCACCTTGCTTTACTCCCTATAAACACCCTGCCACTTTGCTACTTGGGGTCTCTCCTGCTCTGCTGCTGCATCAGACAGATGGAGAGGCCCAGGTTAACTCACAATAGTAAAAAGACTCTGCTTTTGCATTGGATTTAGTCTCTTGGTGGCTTTGGGGTACTCTGGGTACAACAATATATTGGAAATATGTGATCTTCTATTTGATTTTGCTTTACAGGGGATTACAGTTAAGAGATTACATGAATCTCAGAAGAGTCTTTGAACTTTAGATTTTAAATAAGCTTGAGACTTTTATAGATTATGAGGACTTTTGAAGTTGAACTGAATACAGTTTTTGTATTATGATATTACTACAAGCCTATTGGGGCCAGGGAGTAGAATGCTGTTGTTTGAAAGAAAAAGCCCCCATAGGGAGTGGTACTATTAAGAGGTATGGCTTTTGCCAGGTGGTGGTGGCGCATGCCTTTAATCCCAGCACTCAGAAGGCAGAACCAGGCAGATCTCTGTGAGTTTGAGGCCAGCCTGGTCTACAGAGTGAGATCCAGGACAGGTACCAAAACTACATGGAGAAACCCTGTCTCGGAAAAAAAAGAGGTGTGGCTTTGTTGGAGTAGTTATGGCTTTGTTGGAAGAAGTGTGTTGCTATGGGGGGTGCCTTTGAGGTCTTCTATGCTCAAGCTACACCCAGTGACACAGTTCACTTCCTGTTGCCTATGGATCAAGATGTAGAGCGCCATGTCTGTCTCCATGCCACCATGTCCTGCTATGATGATAATGGACTAAACCTCTGAAACTGTAAGCCACCCAGTTAAATGTTTTCCTTTATAAGAGTTGCTATGGTCATGGTGTCTCTTCACAGCAATAGAAACCCTAACAAATTGGGGAACTTCACAATATTCTTCTACATAACACATAGATTAAAGAAGCCTTAAGAGAAATTATAAAGA